TCCAAAAAAAAAAAAAAAAAAAAAAAAATTGTGAGTTCTTGGCTGGCTTGTGTGCACCTCAAGTATTCTCATGAGACAAATATCATATTAAATCTTGGGTGCGCTTAAGCTAGTAGAAGGAATAAGTCCTGAAATCTCTTAGAAAACACACTTTGAGCAATTGGAAGTTTGCATAGTCTTCAGTGAATGGAGGCAGAGGATTTTGTTTTCTGAAATAGAAACCAAAGAGGAAAAGGAGTGTATTATATAAGTACTCAATGTCTTCACTTGAATTTTGTGAACAGCATAAATAACATGGCAGGCGTTGGAAATCATTTATGGTTTTAGTTGAGGTTGAAGATATGTAGTTTTATATTGCGAAGGGACCAAGCAGGCACCTGTATCACTGAAGGTTTCTTTGTAACATTGATTGTAACCAAGTAATCACCTGAATTTTCTCGGGGACATTTGTATTCCTGATGAGTTTATGGAGGCTGTTTGAAATTCTGACAGATGAAACCGTTGATCATAAGAATGAAAGATGAATTGATGTATAGTTTCGTGATATTCTAGTGTTCATATTCTGGTTGGGAATTTCTTATATAAAAAAATGATGGAAGTCCATCGTGCGGCCTTTTTGTTTATGCTAAGGCATTGTCTGAATGATAGGTTTTGAGTGGGGAGATGTTTCGGTCGGACACTCTTGCAGTTATAGTGATGGTGACTTTGCTGCAAGGGCATAAAGATAATGAACATTTTAATTTGGGCAGTTGCCATCTCGCTGGACTCTTTCTTAATCTACTGATGGATCATTTTCTAATGTTAGGAATATTCTGTCCATCCTGCTTTTTAGGCAAAGCTTGCCAGACAACTTATTCAAATGGGAATGATTCCAACTAAACATGTTCCTAAGAAGTTCACTCGTAACACATCTTGTCCATTATTAGAGTAGTTTCTAAAGTCAACGTCAACTACTTCAATGTTTAATACATCTACACTTTTTCTTGAGGTTAAATATCCAAATCTCTCATCCCAACATTTGTTGTAAAAAAATATAGTTTGGACCGTTTAGATACAGTTTTTTAGAGTATTTTCTAAGATCTTGGGTTCTATTAAACAATCAAGATTTTGTTGAATTTTTTTAAGTGTTATATTTCCAGATAGCTGAAGGTACCATAGCAAGGTGTATAGATTTGACGAAAAAAGTGATAATTGTTAGTCACTGCTATGCTTAATACTACAGCAACCAATGTTATACTATGGAGATGATCTGATTGTAAACTTTTCCACTAGACAAGCAAAGGTGGCAGAGATATGATTGGCAGCGGCCATGGGGCAAATGTGCAACCTATTTTTGAGTTGAGCTTTCTTGAATGAGAACATCAGTAAATCTTTGGACTGGAAGGTTTCTTTCTTGGCAAAAATTTCAGTCAACTTGTATTGTTCTGTGTGACAATGATATCCTATGTCATAGTTGTAGTGTTCAAATTGAATTTGAAGAAATCTACTAACATTTGAAGGCTTTGGAGAATCCATTCTTATTTCTCTTATGTATGGTTCTCTCTGCATCTAATTTATAAAAAACTGATGCACGATATAGAAGAGCATACAAAAAGGGAGATGAGATATCCCCACAATACCAAAGGGTTACAAAAAGGGTGCCCAATTGGTCATAATCTGTACAAGGTCGTACGTAAAAAATTACAATAAAACTAGATAGAAAACACTGGATGGAAGCAAAGAGATAAATAGTCTCAAAACTCCTGATGTTAGACTTTGAAGACCTACAGCCCCCAAGGAAGCCATCACCATATTTGTCCACAAAACTCTACCATGACCTTTAAAGGGATTTCTGCACTTAAGCTGAATGATAAGACTCCTCAATTTCATTACAGAAACACCAATGGATACCAAACAGAGTATAATTTGTCCCACCTGGCTCTCACAAAATCACTGTGTAGGAATGATCTCATGGTTGTCTGCATCCCTTCTGCACATTACGCACGAACTAGGGGAAATGCAATCTTTGAAAGTTGCTCTTTCTGAGGTCTTTGGTACATTCACAGTCGTTTCATTTGAAAACAGGCCATGTTGGCATTCAGAGGTGGAATTCATCATTAGCATAAAATTTAATAGGCGGTTCTCTTTTGCATCCACCGATACCCTTGAATTTGAGAACAAATACTGTCAAAGATTTTTTTGATCTGAAACTATAATCCGACAGGTATTATGCACAATAAATCTTCATTTTACTTATAGAATCCAAAGTGAGGAAGAGTTGATTTATGAGGATGAGAAGTCTTCATAACAACAAAATAAGTCACTTAAAAAGCCTATCCAAATTGCATTAGATATTCCAAAGTTTAGTTGGGCTTTTGACTTTGACATACTAGAAATGAAATAACTATGCCTGGTATGTTGGAATAACAATTTGAATATTAGTTGAAACCTTAATCTATTTATATATTTCATAAATTAATTAATTGCACACAGTTAAATTTGATTTGTTAAAAACATTTTGTTTAATAAGTTGCTTCATAATGAATTTGTAGTTAGTAATTTCTAATTAAAAACAAATAAATTAATTAAAACAATTAAATTGCATTTTGTATTAACTATTTTTCATGGGTTAATGTGCCATGTTCGACCTGACATAGATAAGGTTGCTCATTCCCCCAGTTTCGTTACACATGTATTTAAACAGCCTCTAAAAATTTACTTATTCTGAACAACCATTAAATAAATGCCGTATGGCTGTGCTGTGGCTTCCTTACCATTGTTAAGGCAAACTAATTAGGTGCAATTTGGTGAAGGCTATCGTTGGCCTGTTTTATTAGAAAAATAGTCAAGAGGAAATTCTGAAGACAAGACTAAGGATTCTGCATTTTGCATTCAGAGAAAATTTGGGAGTCTGATAGTTCTTTTTGCTCTTCTCAGACTTACTCTTGTAATTACAACTACCCTTCGGGTAATTCCATTTGGACTTTTCTCCAGGTTTGGAGGATAGTTCGTCTTCCTTCTCCCTTTTTGTAGTTTTTCTTGGATAATTTTTTTATGCAGGAGAAAATAAGTTCCAAACACTAATACGATCCTGTCAAATGATTTATCATAAAAAAAATTGCTTATTCATTTCCAATGAAATGATTTAACATATAGTGAAACTGTAAGCCTTTAACGAGCCCATCTCTTTTTACTGGTGAGTGGTAATTCCTCCAGAAATGTCCTATATCCCCCTTCAGATCCCTCTCTGGTATAAGATTGTCTTTTCTTCTACTTGGTCAGTAATCCATATTTTGCGCTATTAGATTGGATATTTAGATCTGCACTCAATGATTGGCTCTTGAGAAGTACACATCTATTCACGACAACATAATTTATACTTTGATATGTATGCTAATCCTCAGCATGCATTTGTTCATACAGTTTATCATCCTGTTCTCTGTCCTTACATGGTGATGAGAGCAGGAGCTTTCTCTGTCTTGAATGCTTTAATTCGCAGAATATTGTTGGCTTGATATGGTTCTTCTTTGGTTTGTTGTATTGATTAATATGATCTAATTTCTTCATTTGTTTGGGGATGATTTTTAGTATTTTGATTTGCTTTTCACTCTTCATGTTTTAATTTTTCTCTTGTCTCATTCCCTCCACCCCTTTGAACTGTCTCCTACCTGTCATAATGGTTATCTTGCTGGGTTGTTGCTCTCAGGAACCTGCAGAACCTCCTTTCATCCAATTTGTGCAAGGGAGGCTAGAAATAGAATGGAGGTCTGGGCAAAATATGGGTGTGATAATGTAAGTGTGAATTATTCCCATTCTAGAATTCAGTCTGTATGATAACAATTTTCAAAGATCTAAGGATCTAAAAGTTTGTTTCTATCAGGTTGAGCTTCGTGCTTTCTGTTCAAAGCACTCTGACAGTTGGGACAGGAGTAGCGGCCAATGTCCTTCTGAAGCTGTTAACAGTAGCTCATATGTTGTCAACCACCTTCCAGTAACATTGTCAATTAACAGGCCACAAAAATTAGTAGGGAGAAGGAACATTGATAACCTTTTACTCTGTAAGGAGGCTTCTGATACGAATTCTGGAAAATTGAATGGTGGGGAATCAGAAAATATAGGATCCACTGATCCCAGTTTGAATGCTGATTGTGTTGATACACACAAGTCTACTGTCCAGGGGGTTGAGGATGTTAACCCACTTGACTCCCTTAAACTTGCATCAATTATGAAAAAGGTAATTTTGCAAGTCGATTTTGTTTTTTCTTTTAATTTTTTTACTTCTTATCTCTCTAGAACTGTCTTACTTCAATTGTATGTCTACCTTCGTGCAGTTGATTGATCAAGGAAAAGTGAACGCTAAAGATGTAGCATTAGAAATTGGCATACCACCTGATTTATTATGTGCAAAACTTGCTGTAATGCCTGCCATTATTAATTTGTTTGTCATTATTGTTTTAACTTTTTCCCATATAAAAAAAGTCATCTGCTTATGTTGTCCTTCATTTTTCAGGCTGGCAACCTTGTCCCCGACTTGAAATCCAAAATTGTCCGATGGCTAAGAAGTCATGCTTATATTGGCACCTTGCAGAAAAATTTGAGAGTCAAACTCAAGTCGGCCGTTCTAGCTAAAGCTGTTGATGGATCTGCTGATCGTTCAGACTCATTGTCAGTACCTGATTCTGATAATTCAGACCTTATTGCTAATAAGATGGTTACACTTAGAAGAAAAACTAAAAGCAATATTAGCCATTTGAAGAGTGACGAAATCAAATCTTCATCTGAAGAAACTTTAGGTGGCCATTGTCTAGTTATGCAAAGTGATACCTTGGACCAGCAAGCTTGTGAAGAACAAGGTGATTCAAATAAGGAATGCATCCAAGACGCTTGTGAGAAGGTGAGCATGTCATCATTACTTTATTTTCTTGCCGTCCGCTCTTTTTTGGGCTGTTAATCTTTTTATTTATCATATGGAATCCATATGATGATTTGTACAGTTATGGTTTGTTCCCAATTGTCTGTACCTGGTTGCTTTGATTTCTTGGCTGATGAACTTATGAAGTATTCAGTTGTTGGACAAAGGAATGAATGTTGTTTGTTTATGGAGGTGGTTGCAATAGACGGATTATATTATGTCTACGCAAAATAGACTGGCACTCTTTTTCTTATCTGTCTCTATGTTAGTTCGTTGTTTATTTGCTGCATTTTCAGGCTCTAAGGTAACACTTCGATGTGCTGGTTTATGAAAAAAGTTATGCATGATTACTTTTAAATTTTTTTTCTTTTCATAATCATAGTTCTCAGAATGCTGTTCTTATTTTTTATTTTTATTTTTATAGCCAATAATAACTGGCTCATGCAATCAAGTAGATAGGTTGATAAAAGAAGTGTGTTGAGGAGGGGAGAATCTCTATGCAATTTTGCATGTGTTGGTATTTTTCAGATTTTTAAATGTTGGTTTGGAGTGGCTTCATATTGAAGAGAACATGGTATAGGGGCTGCGGGTAGTATTCACCAAGTATTACATGCATATTTTAACCTTTCGATTGTCAAGAGATTGGGGATTCTCTGGGTACTAAAATGTATAGCCATAATTTTGCTTGACTAGTTTAAAATTTTCATTTTGTTGTGCTCAATGACACACTACAAAATGTTGCATCTGTCTATCTTTCATGTTCTGTTTGTTCAGACTAGTTCTGGATTGATAAGAGTTGGGAAGGTCGAAAGTGATAACGTGTTTCTCATTTTATTGATTTCTTTCTAGCTATGGTGTAAATTTCCCCCACTTTTTCATCATTTTAGCTACTTTACACTTTTGTCAATCTAGACATCTTTGTAATTTCATCCATGAATGAAATTGTTTCTTATAAAAAAAAATGAATCTGCCCGTGTTCCTCCCACAACTAATGTTTCTTGGTTTCTCTATCCATTGGTTAGCACTTGCCATCATTCTCATTGGTTGTAATTTGGTCTGTTGTCATGTGTCAATATGTTGCCCCTCACACTAATCAATTCACCCCAGAAGCCATGTGGTCCTTGAGGTTGGGGTGGAGAAACTAAGTCTAGATGTCTACAGCTCACTCTCACTTCGCTGCCTCCATGGTCATAACATCACAACACCCATCAGGTTTATACTTCGATCAGATTCTTGCATTTTGAGTTGGAACAAATCCCTAAGGTGGCCTTAAGTTCAGTAATCAAGTAGAAGGATAGGGGACGAGAACTCCTCCTAGTGGAAAGTTAATGATAAATGATGGAACATTACGGATGCTAAAGCAAAATTTGGCCAACTTTAAGTGGATACAGGTGGTTAGCTAGAGTTGCATCATGTCGTCTTCATAATTGCTGTCAAGAATTAGTAAAACACCCTCGGTGTTTTAAAAAGCTTCCCGAGGTGGGTACCTAGGCACTAGGTGCACATCTAGGTGAGCCATACAGCAGGTGTGCATGCCTCCCTTTGAAGCCCCAAGGCATTGGGCTTGCATCTTGAGTTCAGGATTTTTTCCCTCCATATTCTTACTTCAGACCTTGCTTTCTCTGCTACTTCTCTCCACCATCCTTCTTTGCGCCCAAACTTTCTACACAGTATGGATAGTTTGAACTCTAAGTTCATATGTTATCTGTTTCTTTATTATAAATCTTTTTTTTTATGGATGGTTATTTTTTATGTATATATATATCTATAATTATAGTTATGTATTTTTCCATATATGGTGCTCCACAAAAAAAAAAAAAAAATCCTGCATTTAAGCCTTGAAAGGCTATTGCGCTTTAGAGCACCTCAAGCTTTATTAGCTCTGCCCTTACGGATTACATTGTCAATAGCCCATTTCAGTGCCTTTCTCTGCAAGCCTAGAAATCCAGTGTGACTTTGACACTCCATTCATCGTACATTTCTCTTTTTCTTCACTTTCTTTGTGTAGATATGTGAATGGATGTTAGGTAGCTTTTTTATCCGAGGAAGGTGCAAAATTAGGCCAACTTCAAATTGCACATAAGTCATAAGAGTGTTTTAATAGATTCCTCAAATGAGAATTGATCAAAAGTGTCTGGCCATTATTTTCGTTCATTGCTTCTCATTTTTAAGAAGCATGTGCAACTTTTGGAAACAAAAAAATCAAGTTTTTTTTTTGTTCCCATTTCCAATTTTACCCAAAAATATGAATAAGCGCATTGTTGTATTATATAGGAACCTCTGCACTACGTTCATTTTGTGGCTGAGGATAAACATCTCTGCACTACGTTCATTTTGTGGCTGAGGTTTTGGTTGTTTTGGTTCTTTTTTGGAGCTCTCCCTTTTTTCCACTTTGTCATTCGTTGTCTGTTAGGGAAACAATGGCTCACAATTTTCTTATTTTTGATCGGAGAGTTTGAGTTTAGATTTAGGAGAAGGGATGTTTGTTTTTCAAGTCCTAACCTTTGTGGGGGTTTCTCTTGTAGCTCTTTTTTTCATTGTTTGTTGAACTCCTCTTCTCTCCCTATATGTATGGTTCTTTCTGCTCCATAGAAGGATAAAATTCCAAAGAAAGTTAAGTTCTTTGTTTGGCAGATTATTCATAGAAGAGTTATTCTCTTGTTTGGCTTTCATGAAAGTTGCCTTTGTTGGTTGGTCATTTTATTGTATTCTTTGTCTGAGTGCGGAGGAAGACATGGATCATATTCTTTCGAGTTGCAATATTGCACGATCTTTTTGGAGTTACTTTTTTGAGATGCTTGGCTTTCCATTAGCCCCTCACAAAGATCTGAGTGAGATAATCAAGGTGTTCCTTCTCCATCCACCATTTAGGGAGAAAGGAAATTTTTTGTGGCATGTTTGGGGTGTATGCTTTGTTGTGAGATCTTTTGGGAGAAAGGAATGGAGTCTTTAGAGGAGTGGAGAAGGATTTGAGTGATGTTTGGTCTCTTGCTAGATTCTATGTTTCTCTTTGAGCTTTTGGCGAATGGTGAAGTCTTTTTATAATTATTCTTTAGATCTTATTTTGCACAGTTAGAGCCCTTTCCTTTAGTGGTTCTCCCTTTTGCAAGCTTGGTTTTTCAAATGCCGTCTTTTCATCAATGAAAGGTTGATTTCACATTTAAAAAAAAAAAAAAGTTGTATAGGAATATTCCTTTACCACTCTTAATAGGAAACGTTGCGTTTTCAGGTTGTGGCATGTCTTTTGCTTTCCGTGGATTGATGTTTCTCTTCTTGCTGCTCCTTATATTTTGAACAATTAGCTGACGATGGCATTTTCATGAAGTTGAACCTTTCTTCCCAAAAATTCCCCAAGTTACCATAGTTCATGAATTTTTTAATTTTAATTTTAATTAATTAATTTATCTTTTAGTTTTTTACTTTTCCCGTACCCTTGGTAAATGATTTTGTTCATCCATGCAGCATTTAAATGAGCATGATAGTTCTCAAGATACTCCAAGGAATTTGCCAAATGATGTAGGTATGTTATGAAGTTTATGATCAATTCTTCTCTATATGTTTCCAGCTCAATCGTGTTTTTCTCCCCTCCCATATTTATTTGGTTGATTCAAGACAATTTTTAATCTTTGATAGACAATGATAAGTTTGTAAGTAACTTATTTCTGTTACCCATCTAATGACACCAATGCTCTCTTCTAGGTTTTTGAAATGCTTCCACAAGGAAACTATTTTCAATAACTTAGTTGATCCCTATCCCTTTCTTCCCCAGATCTTTACCTATCAAATCATATAACTTTCGGGCTATTTCATTAGGGGAGTGGTCTGACCAAGAACAATCGATTAGGTTCCAGCCTCCAGTAGCTTTGAGAGAGATTCGCTAGAGAGAGGTGATCGCTGCAAATTCCTTAATTTTTGGATCTTTCGGATTCCTCCTCTACTTAAGGTCCCAGCTTTCAGATTCAGCCACCCATAAATCAGTAACCGTAGCTTTTTGTCATGGGAAAGGGAAAGGGAAAACAGCTGGGAGTATCATCTAGCTACAGTTTCCTCCCCAAGCCTGTGTCTTTTCAAAAGGGCACTCTGTTTTTGGATTCTTAAATGTCTTCTGGGACTTAATCATCTGGTTCAATTTTTTTTTATCTAACCCTTCAATTGGAGGGAAGCCATGAGCCAGTGTGTGAATCCTAGCTTCCCTGGTTTGATGTTGTTCCATTTGATTTGTTTTTAAGTCACTTCATTTAAGTACATTTTTTTTTCTTTTAATAAGAAACAATTTCATTGATGTATGAAATTTACTCCCTAGGGGCATAAGTAGATGTCCCCCCCTCCCCCCACCCACACACACACACACACACGGATCTTCAAATGGAGCCTTGGATTTTCTTTACCCCCTAGAATATTGGTTACTCATTTTTGGTTAAATATTTTGCCTTGTAGAAGGTGATTTCTTGGAGTGTTCTGTTTCTGGCCATAATTCTTCAGTAAGTGCAGTTCATGGGTATGTGGTTATTCTTTATCTATTATAGTTCCGATTTATAGGCTTTTGACAAGTAACTTCTATTTATATATTATCTGCTGATGGATTCCTAATCCTTCTAGATGAATATTGTGCAGAAAGGCTGGAGAGTCCCCTAATTCTTATTTTCATCCATATGTCCAAGAGAAAATGGCACATATGTTGGATGCAAAGCTTCTAAGTAACTACATACTTGGTTCTAGTGGTAAAGTTTTTTCATGCTACTTGGTATGCATTGAATTTATCTTGAGATTATTTTACTTCACAGATCTGTCTGAAGGAGAGATGTCATGGCAAGCATCTTCCAGTGCTGGCGTTTGCTGTGATCACCAACGCCTGCATTTTGACTGCAATGGCACGAGTTACAAATCTGGTGGATTTAATCCAAAGCAGCTAGTCAATAAAAAAATAGGTGGAATCATAAAGTTGTCTCCAGAAGATGAAATTGAAGGAGAAATTATATTTTATCAGCTCAGATTACTTGCAAATGCAGTTTCAAGAAAGCGGTTCACTGGTATTTTAATTGTTTTTTCAAGCTTCAATGTAAATGCTGGTCTTTTTACTCGTTGTTTATTCTCCCTCCCTCATGAAAATCCAGTATTTGATCTTTGAACTTTTAGGCTTTCCTTTGGTTGCTTAGCTTTCCAATAGCCTTAATTTAGTCCTTGAAATTTCAAGTATTTTGGTTTTTATCATAATTCTCCCAGCAATCTGCTCTACCCAAGTTCTGCATGAGTCAAACTATGTGACCTTAATACATGCTCGTGTTAGCATGTTAATACATGTATTTGAAGTCCCATCATCTGTTTATTAAATAATTGAAAACAAAATAATGGTAAACATTAAATAGTTATTTTTTAAAAAAAGTTTATGGACTAAATTAGACATTTGAGGTGTGAGTCAAAAAATTAAACCACTAACCGTAAAAAAAAAGGGGAAGGAAAATGGTTTTTTATTTGATAGTTTATAATAGACATTTTATTAGTTCAGGATTGAAATGAAATAAACTGAAAGTTTAGGGACTAAATTGGATTTGGAGCCAAAAAAAAGAAAAGAAAAGTGTCTGAATACTGTTAACTCTCCCATGAAATACTCCACAGGAAAGCTTCCTCTGATAACTTTTGGTACTACAAATGGTTTTTGCAGACTATTTAATTTGTAACGTTGTTAAGAGTCTTCCAAAGGAGATTAATGAAGCACGAAGTACTAGATGGGATGCTGTTCTTATTAATCAGTATTTTGGTGAGCTTAGAGAAGCAAAGAAACAGGGTAAGAAAGAGAGAAGGCATAAAGAAGCACAGGCTGTACTAGCTGCTGCAACGGCTGCTGCTGCTGCCTCTTCTAGGATGTCATCATTCAGAAAGGATGTATGCGAAGAATCTGCTCATAGAGAGGTTTTTTGATGATTTTACATGGAGCTCTTTACTGCACTTTTATGTCATCTTTTGAGAAGCGACTAATGTTGAAATGTTTGGCAATTCTTCCCAGTTGATGCCTCGTGCAAAAGAAACACTTACTAAGGTTGCTCTCCCAAAAACTTCATTAGAGTCGGACTTCTGTAAAGAACATGCTAGATCCTGTGACATCTGCAGGCGGCCAGAGACAATGTTAAAGCCAATTTTAGTCTGCGCAAGCTGCAAGGTTTCATACTTTATCTGCTTGTTTTTGTGGAAAAGGAAAACAAATGTTGTATTTGATTGACAGATGGCATATGTTGCAGGTTTCAGTACATCTGGATTGCTATCGGACTGTTAAAGAGTCCTCAGGTCCATGGTATTGTGAGTTATGTGAAGAATTGGCAGTATCAAGAGGGTCTGGAACTCCAGTAGTCAATTTTTGGGAGAAATCATATTTTGTTGCAGAATGTGGTCTATGTGGTGGCACCACAGGTGCATTCAGGAAATCATCTGACGGCCAGTGGGTTCATGCCGTATGTGCAGAGGTAAAATACAGTAATTAGTTTATAGGAATTATCCTTCTCATTTTATTTGCTTTCTCTTCCTCTGTCATTTAAAAAAGATGGAAAAGATAGCGGCTGTGCTTTTAAATTTTAAAAACGTCATTATAGTCCCTCTATAAAGGGTAAGGCTAATCTATGGGAAACATTATTTTTATGCATCCCTCTTTACATATGGACTACTTTGTGTTAACTTCATGCATCATCTTGTAGTGGGTCTTCGAATCAACTTATAAAAGAGGTCAAGCAAATTCTGTGGGAGGAATGGTATGTAATATTGCCAAGTGTTACCATTTTACTATAGCTTAGATATGTGACTATCCATAAGCTAAAATTCATTTGTGGGAATTGGTACTTATGGTTGATTTTAATTCGTTAATTTACCTCTCTTAATGGAATGTCAGGAGACAGTTTCAAAGGGGGTGGACTCTTGCTATATTTGTCACCGCAAGCATGGTGTCAGTTTGAAGGTCGACTAACTTATTTGTGCTGCAATATGTCCGTTCAAAAATTATAGCTGTGTCGGAATTCCTGTCTTCCCATTATTCTTTGTTTTCTTGAATATTGTGATGGTTAAAGTACCTTGATTTCATTGTCTTCAGTGTAATTATGGTCATTGTCAGACCACTTTTCATCCCTTATGCGCTAGAAGTGCTGGATGTTACATGACTGTAAAGACTTCGGGTGGTAAGTTGCAGCACAGATCATACTGTGAAAAGCATAGCGCAGAGCAGAGAGCAAAGGTACTCTTTCTCGTAATGATTTCTATTCTTGCAGCATACAGTTGTGACTTCTAACATTGAACGAACATGGACAGGCTGAGAACCAAACACATGGAATCGAGGAATTGAATAGAGTCAAGCAAATTAGGGTAACTCTATGTCCATTCTAATAATTTCTTATGAAATTACTTTCTTTTTCTTTGCGACATGATTCTTGTGGCTTAAGATTACTCTCAACTGTTTTTCACACAATTATTTACATCCATTATACCTATTGGCGAGTGTAAGAAGCAATTTCAAATTATATTTGAAGAGGTTCCTTGTCGTAACCATTTATGATTTCGTTTTTTAGTTATAATTGTGAACCCAATTTCATTTGCATGCTGTGCCTTGTGTATGACCTTTCATGCATGCCTTTATACTTGAACTATACTTGTTTTTACGGGCTTGACTTTTGCTGTACGTGCTTATATCTGAAATTAAGCTATAATTTTTGTAGAATATTGTTGAATTCTCCATTTTCTGTTTTGCAGGTTGAACTTGAGAGGCTACGCCTACTCTGCGAGAGAATCATCAAGCGCGAGAAGATCAAGGTATGCCATTTTAACAAGAAAACTAATTTCCATCTTTTGAATAGGTATATATTACAAGGAACAGAGATTTGAAAAGCTACAAACTATCAACTTTCACCAAGAGTGCCGATTACATGACGAAGCACGAATAGTAGTCCCTCAAAACAATAACAACAAAAACAAAAAAGCTTTCCAATTATAATTAATCTCAGAAATTAAATAATTTTGAACTAGTTTGGAAAGAACGCACCAGGAAGCCACATGAACTTCAATAAACTCAAAGTTCAATCGAAATCTTTTATAAAAAAAGGAAAAAAGTTCGATTGGGCTCAACTCTTGATTCAAAGTGTTTGCCACCCATGGGCATTATGAATACTGATATAAATAAGCTGAGTGCCCAGCCACTCAAGAACTAGCTTAATTAGTTCATGAATTTGTGAACTTATTTTGGCCTTCAGGGTGTGGCTCTATTGGTTGAGTGCTTGGGGCTTTGGGCTGTAATGTACTATGTCTTGGGTAGATTGTTGGTGTTAAGATCTATGGACAGGAGTACTGTTATATGGCATTATTTAGGGAGTTTAAACTTGGAATCTCTTCCCTCAAGTGTTCCTTACTCAGAAGCCTGTTTTTTTTTTTATGTTTGCAGAGGGACCTGGTTCTGTGTTCACATGATGTTCTTGCTTTTAAAAGAGACCATGTAGCACGATCCGTACTAGTTCGCTCTCCTTTCTTCCTACCTGAAGTTAGTTCTGAATCAGCTACCACATCATTAAAGGGGCACGTGGAAGATTTAAAATCGTGCAGTGAAGCTGTGCAGAGATCAGATGATTTAACTGTGGACAGCACAGTTTCCATCAAGCACTGGAACAAAGTACCGTTGTCTTTGGACACTGAACAAAAGACGGACGACGATAGTTCTACATCTCAGAACCCATTCCCCCCAAAATTTGTAGACAGGGGTCAGTTTGCTGGGAAGCAAATACCTCAGAGATCTTCAACTTCTACATCACGTAATCTTGTAGATGTTAGAGGATTGAGGTTCAAGTCTAGAAAGGTACAGCGTTATGTTTCTCTTCTTTTTTGTTATTACCCATCTAGATTGTAGATTCAATTATGTGCATCATCCTGACTGGGCATTATGAACCATAGCATGCCGAGACATTTCAGAAAGAGCTGGTAATGACGTCCGACCAAGCATCAATGAAGAATTCTCTTTTACCTAAGCAGTACCTGTATGTTCCTGCTGATGTCCTCGCCAAGGAGAAACAGGTCAACCAGGAAACAGGTTCTGCCGAGCCACCAAAATGCGACAGGTAGTTGGGAGAAGGCATTTCTTGTGTTTCAGATTTCCACGTCGGACACCAAACATCCATATTCCCGGACCCATATCTTGCTCGGAAACTGAGTCCGAGAACAAGTAACATGGCTGATGGAGAAGAGAAGAGCAGAGCAGCAGCACAGGGGGGAAGCTGGGATGGACTCCAGCAGGGCGCCCGAGTTTGACTTGGGCAACGGAACTGGACGTTGAGTGTAATTGTACAGTTGGGTGGGGAAGGTCATATATGATGTTGAAATGGGGGCAGATTGAGTTTTCCTTGTATTTGAGATTGTCTTCCTGGTTGGTTGAGTGGAGTTTTTAGAAGAGTATTAGCCATGGAGTGTTGTAGGAGTTGCAGGGAGGGAACAAGGAAAGAGTTGGTGCTGTGATTTGTTTACCATTGTAAAGTTTGGTGTATAATTGAACGCAATCAACCTCTGTCCATCCTCTTCAAACCCCAACTCACGCCCACTTTTAATTACTACAATAATCCCAACGCCCAACCCCATAATTTCTTCTACTTTTATATCCCTTCCATTAATTAGATTGGGAATTTTTATTTTTCGTTTTCAACTATTTCTTAGATTTAATTTTTTTTTTTTTTTTAATTAGTTTCAAGGCTTGCCAGCAACTAGATGTTCGCTATATAAGAATAATTTATGAGACATTGATTTTCAAGTTGCTTCTGACCTCTTGAATTTTATTTTTTTTAATCATTATACTAATATTGATTTAGATCATTTTGGTTGGAATTGGCTATTCAAATAAAATTTTACGTAATTTTTTAATCTTGAAGTAATATAAAAAGGGGAAAAAAGCGAAGAATCTATTTATTTTCTTAAATTTCGAATAATTTAAAATCCCAAACTAATAAAATGGTATTCATTAAAATAATCAACTGCTACTAATTAATGAATTTAGACCGATGGTTATTTATTGGTTATTAATTTCATTTAAAGTCAACTAAAATATACTTAAATGAAATTACTATTTTTCAAAAAATGTAAAATAATAATAATAATAATAAATTAGATCGATTCTTAATGTTCAGAGAGAATAGTAATAAATAAATGAATAAATTATAAACTACGAAGGAGAATTTTTTTATAGAAAGAAAATTTAAAATTCAATAACAGGCCGCGGGTGTCTGCGACGGTTACCGCTCTCTGCCTCTGCATACGAAACTGCAAGCTCGCGATGGGCTCGATAGACGTCCAATCAACCAATCCTCAAAATGGATCCGACGCCGGCGTTTCTGGTGATGGTCGTCAAAAGCCAGTTTCCGCCGACGGTATGAACCAGACATCTAACGAACCAGAAGGAACTGCGCCCGAGAAGCCTAAAGAATTGGGGCCGACGAAGAAGCGTTTGTCCTCCATGCTTCCTCTTGATGTCGGCACCCGCGTCATGTGCCGTTGGAGGGACGGGAAGTACCATCCCGTTAAGGTTATTGAACGTCGGAAGTTGCAGGCAACTGGTTTTAGTGATTACGAATACTATGTCCATTACACCGAGTGTAAGCTACTCATCTGACGTTTGAATTAGTATGTGGTATGTGATTTTACGTGGTGGAAGAATCAAGCTGGAATGAGAAACGAGAGTTGATTTTTTTTTTTTTTTTTTTTTTTTTTTTTTTTTTTTTTTTTTGTTTGTTCCCTAAATTTGTTTGATGTGCTTTTTAGGTTTCTTTTAGGGGGGGTAAATTAGGGCTTATTCGAATTTAGTCAATTTGGGGAGTATGACCTTTGGATTCAGTGAGACAAGTAGCTCTTGCAGCAATGGGATTTTACTTTTTCGTTCATGTAACGGTTGATAGATAAATCACATGGGTGCTATTTTCTGTTAACCCTAGTGTTCGTTGATAGTTCATTAGTCTCTTCTATGTGGAGTTTGGAGTTTTCTTTCTCCTTATCTGGATTTTGTGACAGTCAATAGGAGACTTGATGAGTGGGTGAAGCTTGACCAACTTGATCTTGATTCAGTTGAGACGGTTGTTGATGAGAAAGTGGAGGACAAGGTAGTTTTTTTTACTTACACCTTGATTTTTTAAAATTCAATCAGTCCACTTCTGAAGCATGGAAATATTTAAGGTTATCCTGGGGCATGAGTTGGTCCTATTGGAAGCCATGTTTTACTTGTAAGTATTCAATATGATGGTCTTATTCCTGCACTTGAAGGTAACAGGATTGAAGATGACCCGACACCAGAAGCGGAAGATTGACGAAACCCATGTTGAGGTATGCATTCTTTAAGGATGCAGATAGTCCTTTTTTCGAGAACCTTTATATAATGGCATAAACAAATAATTGATTAGTTGTTCTTTATAAAATACAATACTACATGGGTGTTTGCCAGCAGTAGGTAAAAGAATTCCTTTTAAAATGTACCAGGTGTAAGGGCAAGCGTGAAACTCTCTTGTTAATAGGAGGTAATTCTGTCAGATAGTGCATTAAAAAAGGTTGATATTTTCCATTTAGATGTTGTGATATCAATTTGGAGTGTCTAAACAAAATTCCCAGCCCTCATTATGAAATGTGTTCTTATCTATTTTCAATTTTATAGGGCCATGAGGAACTCGATGCTGCCAGCTTGAGGGAGCATGAAGAATTTACAAAAGTGAAAAATATTGCAACAATTGAACTTGGAAGATATGAGATTGAAACATGGTATTTCTCCCCCTTTCCACCAGAGTACAATGACACCACCAAGCTTTATTTTTGTGAGTTTTGTCTCAATTTCATGAAGCGCAAAGAACAGCTCCAGAGACATATGGTGAGATATGCTCCATCCCGTCTTTTATTGTTTATGAATGAGGTTAGGCCATAGTATCTGTAAATTGATTTTTTAACTTTTGTTTGGGAGCATAAAATCGAGCTGGTGCTGCTTGCTGCTCAGTTTTGGGAATATGAATTTTCTTTTAATCTTCATGGAGTTGTGTTCAAAGTACATCTTTTTGTAATTTCATGTATGGACCTTATTTTGGTTTAATGTCCGACTGGCTGGGTGCATTTATTTGCTCAGTTATGCTATAATGAAATAGTGGATGTTAAAAGAGTCGTTGAACGTATGTTGCTATTGGTCTTACTTCCTTCTTGATGGCTGCATCTTCCCTATAATAATGTAGGAAATGTTGCCTATGTTTGAACATCTCAGCGAATGATTTTACCCATGCCCAGTTATTGATGCCAGCATTATGATAGATTGATTGTTGATGTGCGATAGCCTGATTTTAGGATTGCATATATTCGTTTTATGGGAAAAAGATTATCCAACTTTTTTTTTTTTCATGTTCAGCCAACAATATATATATATCTTTATTGTTTCAGCTATCAACTTATATGTGGTGATTCAATGACCATTTTTATTCCAATATTGAAATCCCTTTATTTTCTGTTTTTATATATGAACAATTATAATAATGTTGCTACTTTGAGGGCATCCAAAAATCATAATAAGGTTTTTGGATAGGAAATAAGATGTATTTTCTTCTTGTAATGGCCCAATTGGGATCGAATAAAGTTGAATGCACTTTCTTGAATTAGTTGAATTTACACGTTTCATTATCACTAGTCCTTTGTACTTGCTAAGTATGAACAACCCGTCTTTAAGTTATGTGCTTTTGTCCATGTAGAGGAAGTGTGATCTGAAGCATCCTCCTGGTGATGAAATATATCGATGTGGTACTTTGTCAATGTTTGAGGTATGGTGTTGATTAGGCTTTCAATCTTTTGGCTTGTTCATGCTGCAGTTGTACATCACGTTATTTTATTATCTCGTTTATCGTCTAAATTCCTTTTTTTCTTCTAATTTTTGGAATAAAAATAGTTGCGCCAGTGGGAATTTCTACTGTATTCTAACATTTCAAGCAAGTTTGACATCTCTACTCACGTTGTGGGAAACTCTGTTTTAAATTATTATTAAATTGATACTTCCATTATCCTTTTACCCCATGACAAACAGTAATACACATGAAGCTATAGAACAAGGATTGTGTTATTGTAGATCAGAAATTCCTCATATAATTTATTTTCTGCTGGTTTTTTTTTTTTTTTTTTTTTTTTTTTTGAAACAGGTCGACGGAAAGAAGAACAAGGTTTATGGGCAGAATCTCTGTTACTTAGCAAAGTTATTTCTTGACCACAAGACCCTCTACTATGATGTAGACCTTTTTCTGTTTTATGTCCTGTGTGAGTGTGATGATCGAGGGTGTCACATGGTTGGATATTTTTCAAAGGTAATTTTGGTTCGATATAACTTCTGTTATTGTTGGAAGAAAACACTATCGTTTGCCAAAAGAAGATTTATAGAGACTTAAAACTCTTGAATGAATATGAAAAGGCGTATAATCATGAAAATTTTTGGACCGGGAGATCCATATAAGAGCTAGAGAAATTATAAAATGTACCAATCAAGGGAAGAACTTTGTCTTAGGGTTGAATTGTTGCCTCCCTCTTATTTATGGCTCCCCTGGGAGGGAATCCAAAGAGTAAGTCCTTCTAGAGGCCTATCCTTGAGAACTTCCCGAAGTGTTGCCTATACATGGAAAAGTTGTTTTTCTCTAATGGGGAAACTTGCTCCCATTGGGCAGTGCTGAGTATGATTCCCAGTTATTATATGTCCCTTTTTAGAATTCTAGTCTCTGTGAGTATGAATCTCAAGAGGGTCATGAGGAATTTCTTGTCGGAAGGATCTGAGGAGGGGAGAAGCTCACACTAGGTTAAGTGGGAGGTGGTTGTGAAATCTGATGAGATGGGTGGATTAGGTATGAGGAGTTGCAATTATTTAACGTGGCTTTCTTGGTTAAATGATTACGATGATTCTTCATGGACTTGAAGGTGTTGTGGTATAACGTGATTCTGAGTGGACATGGCGCTCACCTTTTAAGTGGGTTGGGAGTGGTAAACTCTAGCAGCCCTAGCTAAATTTTTGGGAAAGCTATTTCTTCTGGATTTCATACTTGCTTGAGCATGGGGAAGGCTCAAAAGTCTATTTTTTGGGAGGATGATTAGGTGGGTGATAAGGTGATAAACCTCTCTGAGTTTTTTTTTTTTTTTTTTTCTTTTTTCCCTCTCATTTTTATCAACTTTCAAATAAGAGGTTGCATTCGGGGGCGTCATCTTGCCTTCTTCATAATCTTATCTCTTTGATTCCTTATACTTTTGATGTTCTCTGCCTAACAGAAATGTGACTCACGTAAGGGGTCTTCTTTCTCTTATTTGTGACCAATTGGTGATCCCTGGGAGAGAAGGATGTTAGATTCTGTCTACCCTTTCTCCCTTTCCGGCTGCCTTGAATTTTTTTGCTTTCTCCTCTCTCTGAGAACTAGAAAGTTCAAATTCCAAAGAAGGTTAAGGTTTTTGCATGATAAGTTTTACACTGGAGAGTTAATACCATGGATTGCATCCAAAAATAATCTTCCTACGTGTGGTTCCTGCAACAATGCATTCTTTGTATGAGCATGAGGAGACTCTTGGTCGTTTGTTGTGAGATTTTTAGTTTGCTCTTTACCTTTGGGATCATTGGAAAAGCTAGTTGGGGGAATTTGGGGCTTGCATTAGGGTGTGGGGAGGTCTATGGTGGAGGTGCTACAAGATCATTCCTTGAAGGAGTTGGGCAAAGTGTTGTGACAAGCAAGTACAGTCTGTTGAATATTTGGATTGAGAAAAACAACAAGAGAGGTGGAGAGATCGGGTGAGGACGTTTGGGAGGTGGCCAGGTTTAATGACTCCTTGTGGATGTCGGTCTTTAGACTCTTTTATTATTATGATATTGGTATTGTTGTTTTGGATTGGAGTCTGTTTGTGTAATTAGGGTCAGACTTCCCTTTTTGTTTTTGTTTTTTGTATGCCCTCATATTCTTTTGCTTCTGGTTGGTCTGAATATCATCTGCAAGTACTGAAATCCGCTCTCTAGCTTCAAAATCAAGTTTGGTTCATTCCTTGGCAGTTCTGATCTGTTTGGCTATTGGGGATATATTTGGGGAATTTTGAGCTAAGTGCCTCATTGAAGACCCATTGTATCTTTCCAAAGCAAGTCTTGCCATTCCTCACCTTCAAGGTATAAGCAACAGAAAGGTCGGCTTGTCCTTTTTTCAGTTTTGGTCGAGTTTGCAGGGTATAATATTATGTAGTAGGGTTACATGACCATACTTTTTTATAGGGAAAAGGCGACACAAGTAATTTTTGTTTAAAATCAATTTATCTACTATGCAATTTTTCTGATCCATGCTTTAGTAGTTTGTTTTCCCCCTTTGGAGGGCTAGTGAGAGTTTAGTGCCAACACTGAGTGGTATAAAACGGAGTGAAAACTTGTGTCATGCGGATAATGAAATGTAAGATGGATTTACAATAAATTGCTTTAGAACTTATAAGCTGGAAGCAAGTTCAGAACTTCTCATACCTTTCAAGAGTTTGAAATCGAACTGGATTGTTTTTTTTACTATTATCTGTCGGTGTGCAGGAAAAGCATTCAGAGGAATCCTATAATCTGGCATGCATTCTCACTCTTCCTCCTTATCAAAGGAAGGGTTATGGCAAGTTCTTAATAGCTTTTTGTAAGTTCACGTGCATTAAACTGACTATTTTTTGGGCTAATTTTATCTGCTACTAGCAAGCTTGATGACCTCTCTTCTCTAGTATTGAAAAGGACCAGTAGTCTTTTGTTTGCATGATTTACTTGAGTTTAATTTGTTATTTTAGTTCAACAGTTCACCCTTTTTTTTTTCTGTTGTCTCACCTTTGTTTTTAACGGAGGTTTTGATCTTTTATGAAACTGAGAGATCAGCTTATGAACTCTCCAAGAAGGAAGGTAAAGTTGGGACTCCTGAAAGACCTCTTTCTGACCTTGGATTGGTGAGCTACAGAGGGTACTGGACCAGAGTTCTTTTAGACATCTTGAAAAAGCACAAGGCCAATATCTCTATCAAGGTTTGCATTTCTGTTGCTTGATGTCTTTGATGAAATTAAAAATATTCCACTGAGGTTGCGTTGTTCCTCAAAATTTATTTTAATTGCTATTGAAACAACAAATAATTTTAGAATGTTCTACGAGTCATAAGATTCGTACCTAAGACTTGGCGCATTGGTCATCCCTTTATGACAGGAGCTAAGTGACATGACAGCTATCAAAGCCGAAGATATTTTGAACACACTTCAGAGCCTGGAGTTGATTCAATACAGGAAAGGGCAGCATGTTATATGTGCTGACCCCAAGGTGCTGGATCGTCATCTCAAAGCTGCTGGTCGTGGGGGCCTAGAGGTCGATGTTAGCAAATTGATCTGGACTCCATACAGAGAACAGGGTTGACTCATTATTAAGTTTGACGGTAACCTAACTCTGTATGTACAATAATAGTGTAGAATTTTAGTACATAGCATTAGCGCTGCCATTTCTATCTGATGAATGTAAGCCTGGACAATCAAATACTCATTGAAATGACAAATGGTATAAATAGTCTTGTACATTACTAGTTGCTGACTATTTCTTGAAGAATTCAGTGTATGACCCTTGACATTCACATTTTTTGAACTGGAAGTTTTGAAACTTGAATCAGGTGCTACTTGGGAAGGTTATAAGATTAAAGATATCATTGTGTTTCATTAACAAATAAAATGTAGTTGCATTTATAGTTGTTTATAGTTCAGTGCTCTCGAAATAATCCTAGACCATGAACAGTACGATTAAGTTGATGATAATCTTTCAGCAGTAGATGAACTCTTTTTTAAATTAATGTTTTTCATATACATTAATTTGTTTAGACGTTAACTATTTGTTTTTATGATTTGATTGAGATTTGAAAATTAGACAAGAAATAACATCTTCATGTCCAGTAGCTCCCATGCTAGACGTGGCAAGTAGACAAGAAAGCTAAACAACAGGAGTCCAAAAGAAAAGATGATCTTGCTTTTCCATGTCTTCATCCTCAAAAGAAACAATACTTTTTCGTGAAAGCAGAAAACGGAGCCCTTTCTGATAAAACTTTGTTGGGGAAAAGAAGCAGATTTCACTGCAGAAGACTGTCTGGTAAAAGTTCTGCTATCCTTTTCAAGTACATTACAATTGCAGGCGAGCTGTTCTAAGCTGTTCTGTCTCTATTTCTGTTTAAAATTATGAATAATCCAAATTGATTAACTTGTGCCCACTGTTTCATTTAGAACATGTTCGCCAATTTCTTCAGATCTGATGCAAATGTGTTGTTTGTTTTAGGAAGAGGATATGAGCAAGTAATTTAATACGAAGATATCACACAAAATTGAAACTTGAAGAACAATATATATGAACAATGAGCTACAATCACAGTCTTTAGCTCCTGTGATTAGACAACCAAAACTAGAACGAAGAACAAGAGAACATATCATTTACAGAACTCTCCGTTGAATCTATGATCGCCCACATCCAAGTTTTCTCTTCAAACACTCGTAATCTGAAGCCGATGCTTTGGAAGATGGGTTTGTTGAATCTGTAAGCTCTGTAATACAATGCCACCTGACCTCCTCTTCCAAAGATTCTCCATTTCCCCTCTTTCTTCTCCTGCCTTCTGCACTCGCCGGACCACCGGCAACGGCGGATCCAAATCCACAACGCTAAATGAATCACAATTCCCGTTTTCAGAAACACATTTCTTACCCGAAATTGCAGCATTAGAGGCCGCTCTTCTTCTGCTCCCACAACAGTTGACACCCGCCGTAGATATCGATGCGGCGGCAACGGCGGACCTGGTGATGCTGGTTCCGGTGGTGGAGGGGGAAACCAAGAGATTTTTGCTGGAGAAAAATTTCTTCAGCTTGAAGTAACCTACATTGGCGTTGCTGCCATTTTTGTGGCTGAGAACGGCGTTCTTGGTTGAAATCAAAATCCTGTGAGAAATCGGAAGACCTGCAACTCTGTTATTCCTCTTAACTTGACCCATACATCCGATTCTCGGCGATAAAGGGTCGCCGGAAAAGGACTCTGTACGGGCTCCATCGCATCTGGGCGGCCGGCCGTCTTTGATCGCCGGCTTAGAACAGAGCATCGGCAAGAACATGTTTTTCTGGCGAAAATTTTGTGGGTTGAAGCGATTGTATCTATCCCCCATTTCCAATTCCTGATTCTTCAAAAAAAAAAAAACGTACTGTAAGAGACGACAGAGCTTGGTCCTTGATGTAAAATAATGGCTTCCAAGAGCTCCTCAGGCTCTGGTTTTCAGTAAACAGAGAGAGAGAGAGAGAGAAGGGTTTATTGGGAAGTTAATAAAAATGGTCAAATGGGAACCAAAATCTTGGCGGTGTAATCAAATTGAGCTGAAAATGGGTGTAACTTTGTCAAATATGAACAACGTTGATCGAGTCTTGGCTTTTGCTCATTTCTTTCTCCTTTGGGAAGTAGTTAAAATATTCTACATGTAAATGTCCGGCTCTGAAATTTATATAATCTTTGAGGGTTATATGATAAAATGTCCATAGCGATAATCATGGCTTTAACTTGATTATTACTATATGTCCAAATGAGATGATTAAAACTCATCTTAAACTTTATTTTAACCTTTAAAAGTTTGCTAAACCAATTAGTCACGGTCGCACTTTTTTTTAGTAGTCGCAGCTAACAAGCTAGCTATATCAAAATCGAATTTTGCGGATAATTTTTGTGTATGATCAAGCCTCGAGCTACGTTTTGAGAGAAGATGTTTAAAAAAACATGGGCGAAGAAATCATTGAAAACATATAAACAATAGAGATTACCATACTTAATATATTTTGAGTTGATTTAGGTCTGTCAAGGCTAAACATGATTTTGGAGAACAATCCTACAATAAAAATAAACTTAAGAAAGTACTACAACAAGAAAGCAAGTAAAAGGGTTTGACATGTTATGAACTGACCATAGCAACACGTCATGAACGAACATGACCATGATCTCAATCAAAATTGAAGACGATCAAGTTATTTCAATATCGTGCTTATGACGTTGATCTCCAATACTAATACGTATTTGGACATGAGGGTCAAAGATTAGCAGCAGGAAAAAAAAAAAAAAAAAAAGTAGGATAAGTCCAAAGAAGGATTGGGATGATTGATTGGTGGTGTGTGGAAATTAGAATTAAGTTGAGGCAAAGTGAAGGAAGCATCTTTAATAATGAATGAGTGGCCCTCTCTCATTCCCTTTCTTCATCTTTTTATCTTTTACACAATCAATTCAATTCAATTCAATTCACTTTGATTCATGCCAACTTCACACGCTATGCCCATTGCTTTGCTAAAATCATGTGCCTTTGTCTCCTTCACTTCACATCTCACACCCAAACCAATCCCTCTTCTACTCTTCTTAATCCAATTCTTCAACATCACTTTCAAATCTCGTGTACGGAGCGCCAACCTTATAATATAAGATTACTTTGTTCGTGGGTCATTTGTTGAATTCTCATAAAATGAGTATTTATCTAAATTCTAACACGTAACGATGTCAACCGTGTCTTTGCTAGGAATCTAACGATATCAAGCATGTAGATTTTTTGTTTAGAAATCTAGATCCTCTAATAATTGGTATCTTCAAATGTTCATTTTTGCATGACATCAAATAAACTTGTGTTATACGTCCTCTAATATCTAGCTTTATGATAAGCGTGCATCCTATGTTTTAGACTTTCTGTGTATAATCCTACATAATCTCAAATGTTATCGATCTCGTTTGATCTTGAAATGATACAAATAAAAAAAATTAAATGAAACAACATAACATTAAGTAAATACATAAATAGTGGTATTGGCGTTATACTATATTCTTTCATAAGCATTTTAAAATCCATGAAACTAAAGGTCGTTATAACATTGAAAACAAATGTGTGACAACTTAACACATAAATTAGGATTTAAAAATTTTCACCCGATCACATATTTTTTAGGTCTCAAGCTCTATTCTGTAACGTAACTAATACTTACTTAAACATTCGTAAACAATAGGTTTAAAAGATTAAAAATAAAAATAAAAAATAAATTATTTTGATGGAGACCTATATTTGAAACTGGTCAAATGGTGGGAGAAACTTAATCGAGTATAATTATTATTATTATTTCTATCATAACTGTTTGACTTAGTCCCATTGCTGACACGTATTTCATAGATTATCATAAAACATTTCAAATTAAATTATGCTTAAACTTATTTAATTATACAAATAAATTGTCTTATATTAAATTAAGCCCACTTGTTAATATATTTACATTTTATTTTATTTTGACCCAATGTTTTAAAGATTTTTTTAATGCTTGTAAAAAATATAATGGAAAAAAGTCTTATACAAACATTTTATTAATAAATATTATCATTATTTAAATAGTATGCTTACATATCCAAATATGTTAATAAATTAATAATCTAACTACAAATTATTATTTTTTATTTTGCAAAAAGACCTAATTGATAATTTTAATAGATGAAAAATAAAATTAATAATTTAAAAGAACAAATACGAAATTAAAATAACTTAAATGTTTTTGCTTTATGAATTGAATTTTCTAAAATATTTATTTAAAAGGTGACTATTAATTCAAATATGTATATGCACATATTTATTAGCTGGCCTGTTTGTCAGAAGTGGGCCCTCCGTCCTATATCCACTAGCCACGTATACAGAATCCATACAGGTGGATAACCCTACCACAACAAGGGGAAGAGCATATGTAGGTCACGTTCGAGAGAAAAAGAGGCGCCTAGTCACGTGTTACGCACGTGCATTTGGTATTCCAAACTAATTATTTGCCTTTTATTTTTTTTTATTTAATTATTATTTATAAGAAAATATTTATTATTTACTCTTTTTTACCATTTGTCAATACTTCTCGAAACAATCCATTAGTTTTTCATTTATATATATATATATACCATCTTCATATTATTTAGTTCTTGAACTTTTAAAAAATTAACGGAGGTCTCTCTAATTTAAGTTTTTTTTAAAAAAAATAATTCATTATTAAATAGAATTTTAGGTTTAATGGAACTCCAAACTATAAGTACAGGGGGCGTGTATATATATATATATAGATAGATAAATAACACATCAAAAAAGAAAAAAAATAGAAAGAAAATAGGAAGGCACATGTATGAAGATTGACCAATCAAGCACCCATTTTGTGCACTTCAATTATTAATGTTTTTGGTCCCAAAAATAATATTTTAAAAATGTAATAAAGTTTCAATAATGGGATAAGGCAAAATTATTAAAAATGTCCCTAAATTTTATAATCTTCTAAAAATTACATCTAAACTTTTAATAATACCTTACATCTTTCAAGAAAATCTCAAAAATATTTTTACAGGTGAGTTTAAAAGTTCAAAAATAACCTTACCATTAGTACTATATTTGAAAATTATTCCTTTAGAAAAAAGTTGAAGAAAATTCTAAGAAAAATTATAAATTAAAAAAAATGTATTTCTAAAGCTTTTAAAAAAATTAAAAAATTAAGAGTATTTTCTGAACTCTTTTATTGAAAATTTTTAAAATTTAGAGGCGTTTTTTTTAGACAACTATAAAGTTTATGGGTATTTTTATTAATTTAGTCTAACAGCAACCGCGGGAGACATGTTATGGGCAATAGTCCTAGTTGCAAAGCACTAAGAGAGAGTTGTCTTGTTTGGTAGCCTAAGCTGTAAATTTGAGAAACTTAGGTTGACTAAGATACATGAATATAATAATTAAGAATAAGACAATGAAATACATGCATTAATTGTGCTTGTTGATTGTGAACGTGTTAGGTGTGAGTTTTAATTTTTGACCTTCCCACTAGTCCATGTTTGAATATAAAAAGATGTAAACAGAGGTCACAATCAAAGGGAAAGAGAGGCTCCGTCTAAGAAACCACCACCTATTTACAATCAAATTTTTAATTGCATTTCCACACCTAACTAATCAGCAACCCCTGTTTTCATAATCTCACCACCGTCACACTAACCATTACACTCTCCTAACCTTAATTTTCAAAAACAAGAAGAAACCAAATAGTTAAAGTCTTTTCAATCTATAAATTTATCAGTATGCTCATGAATGAAATTGCTACAATGTGACAAGTGGAGGGAAAATAGAAAGACATACTTGTGGAAACAAGCCAGGAACAAATTGGTCCGGTCGCCATTAGTTTGTCTTCGTGGGGGAGATCTGATTTCCTATCCACCGACAGGTCCAACATTAAGCTAAATTATTGTTGCTTTTCATTGCCATACTCCTCGTCATCTACCTAAGATCAGATCCTACACATGAGATTTGCTCATTGCTGATGGACATAAAATTGAGGAAGCAAAACAAGATATATAGCCAGACTGAAACAATTTGATTGATTGGCCTCCCAGAAGTTGTTGGAGATGCTAGGATTGGGGCATCTCGTCTTACCTTGTCTCGTCGTTTTCTTCTCCGAACAGTGAGGTTCCATCTGAGCCATCAATTATCCTATGTGGCTCTCCGGCTGACTCATCATTTGATGTCACATCTCCAACATCTTCAAATTCTTTAAGAGACTCGTGATGAGGTTGGGAGTGCATTTCAGAATTTGACAAAGATGCAGTTGTGAGATTCAGTCCTTTAGAAAGGGAAACGTACTTGAAAACAAGTTGTTTGTATTGACTGAGAAGCTCTTCTACGTCACTAAATGTAAGATCCCCAGCTTGGGCAAACAAATATGGATAATCTCGGAAGGCTTGCCTCCCTCCTGTGTGATCATTTAAAAGAATAGCTGCTCCCTTATTCTCCAGATCTGAGAGGGATGGAACTTCCATTACTGTTGACTGATCCTTGGCATGTGATGCCTCAGTTCTGGGCTTTGCTACAGTGAAATTAGGTCTAACTGCAGGGTCAGCACCAGCATTTGAAGCTTGAGAACTGGTTTCTACAGGTTCTGAATAACGGCCAACCCCTTCATCCAAGTTACTCTTGTTAGAAAGGGCTTGAACATCACTAGAGAGCCCAGATAGGAGTGCTCGAGCAGATTCCATGTTTTTTCCAAACTCAGTTTCTTCCATTGAGAGGGCATTTGCATCAATGTTTGAGATAAAGGACTCGGCAGAGAGTATATTTGTGAAAAAATATGCTGCTTCCCCAGTTAATCGGGATTGTCCCCTGTATCGTTGTATATACAATAAATTTGAGTGCAGTTGTGGAGGGTTTGCCTACAAGAAATTGTGCATGAAAAACACATTTATGACACATGGTGCGAAAAATTTGTACATTTTATACTACAATAGCTATTGCTTTAATATATGAAACAAACAATTATGTGGAGTGTTTACCACCAACTTTCCAGAGTAATGCCAAATAGAGAGGCCTGGAGTTTGTTGGTGATATTCTATAAGGAAACACCATGCTATCAAATGCTGACATGTAACAACACATGCAATAGCGCGGAAAGTGCTTCATAAGTAATGACATCATTGGATATGAAAAACTGACGTTAAGCAATCATATTACACATCACCTTTATGATAACATAAATGAGGACGGGAAGGAATTCATCAGCCCCCGGAGGATTCTCATTTGAAGCAATAGAAGCATTAAGTAGCAGGTTACTGATGACCTTACAACAACTGAGAAGACACACAAGCTTGTCTCTTGGAGCTTTGTACATGTTAATCTTCAGGAGTTCTTTCTGAGCAAGCTGTCAAAAAAAGCGTTAACATGTAGGTGAAACTTGTATTAATGATCTGTAAAGATTCAGATTGTGGAAAATTCCACATAATAAAATGTGAGGTACGACCTAATTCAAGAAAAAAAAAAAGTTTCAGTTAGAATAAACAAGATGTGTTGAAAACAAACATTGAATTAAATAAATTCTTTAATCAGAATTGAGGTAAGAACCAGCCCGAGGGGAAGAAACTTCGTTCATATTTCCATAACAAGTATGCCTCCAAAAGTTTTGTGTTTCATTGTCTTTTCCCTACCACTTACTCATGGAAAACAAAAGAATTTAACTATAGAGAACCGTCCAGAACATAGGGGGATTCCATAAACATTCAAAGTGAATATACATTACATTTTAATGCTTGTTTTGTGTCCTCAACTTATTTTCTTTCTATAGATAGGCATCAGCTGATCTGAGAATTGGTTGTCTAGCAATTCCATCTACACTTTGGCATTACCAAGAATAGGAAAGCAACAAAGCTTTAGAAAGATTATTTGTGAGCTATTTTTAATGTATACTTGAATGTCCGAATAAAAAAATGCACACGTTTCATAGATGATAAGCTAAAAAAATGCACACGTTTCGTAGGAGAGATGATATTCTTCAGATTTCAGTTAAATTTGCTGGACAAAGTATCAATTAGCTTCCTGATTTAAACTCATGAGAAATTCTTAAAAATGCTGGCAAAATGTATCAGAAGAACTAACTTCGAAAGTATGATTTTTGCCCAAACAAATAATCATTAGGATCTGAAGTTTAAGAGAGAGGAGATGATTACTGCACAAATTACATGAAGATCACTTGACTTTGACCTTTACTCACCAACCATGACGTTTCATTTTGGAAATTTGGTTTGATATCCAAATTTTCTGGCCTAATGAACTGTTGAATCAGTGCCATTTTTTCAGAAAGTTGTTCATCTCTTTTGACATCATCTGCAAATGAAGCAAATACTCGAGAAAATAACTTTGTCATGACATACTTCTCCAATCCCTGTATTCAATAGACGGGGGTGCATTAGAAAAGAGAATAGAGGTTAAAAATAACAAATAACACTGAAGCAGCAAATACTCTAGATGTAAAGCGTGTGCTATTGCAAATTTACATGATATATGGTCCATTCAGGAAGACTCTTCGCAGAGTTTTCCCAAAAAATGTGCACCAAGATAAAAGAACTTGGTTCTTTTATATCAATAATTATATTAATTACGTTAAATATATGATGAGGACAGGAACAGTATGTGTCTAACTCATTTTAAAGTAGGCTTGTTTTACTTCTAATTTAACAGTATCAAATGTCCTACACATTATATTTTAAAACTGTAGTCTCTTCGTCCAGATCTTTTACCCACTGAAAATTAATTATACGGCTCATTCTCATTATTGAGGTGAAAAACATATCATCACTAATTATAAAGATTTACACATGCTCAAAAGTAGTGAACTTACCTCACCAGCACTTTCCAGTTCTTCTTCCGAGCAACCGGACCAAAGCGGATGAGCTCTGAAAGATCCCTCCATTTTGGTAAAGAATTCTTGGACCAAAGCACTATCCCTTTCAGGGTCAGGAGTATTATTTGAAAATGACACAATAAAGCTGCCAGTATAAAGTGCTCAGTCAAAACTTTAGGCACATATATATTACTGTTCAAACTCAACAGACTCTTTCAATATAATGTAACAAAACAATATCAATCTGAAACTCGACAATCTGAAAGACACTCATAGATATATACACATCTATGCACGTATACATTATATCGGGCGTAGAATCTTCTCAACCCCCAGTGTATACCAAGTTTGAGATTGAAATTGCCTAAACTCCAGAGTTCAGAGGATTAGGCAGCCACTTAAGGTATTATACTATCTCAATTAGGTGATATTAAAGGGTCTTGAACTAATAACCAATTGTTAATACCCAATGCCTTTACCGTTATGCCGCCCTCTTGAAGTTTGTCTTGTACATAACACTAAATCTAAACTCTGTCACTAGGTACTAACTACAAGTTCTTTTCCATCAGAGACTGGCAAATGTTATTACTACCAGAGTATGCGATCGGAGTTCCCATTAATGAGAGTGATTTTCTCCTTCTAGAAGAAAATGATGAGATTGGTTTTAGCTTTCATGGGCAGGAATTTGAATCTACAAACACGGACGGCAACTAAAACCAAAAGCTCAAATGTGGAGATTCGTCTCTATCGACAACTTCATCAAATTAAGTAATTAGAACTAAATGTCAAGATAACATCATCAACTAGAAAGTCACATTAAGCACTGAATTCAGCTTACACAACTATACTACTTCAGAAGTCGAATTAAAATCTTTCATTGATAACTACGGGGACTTTTAATTATAGCATGCTTAAAGAAAACAAACAGCCGAATTAGCAAGAAACTCGAGGACCAGACAAAGGAGAGAGAAAATGAATAATGAGCAAGCATTGTAATTAACGTGAAAAGAAACCAGATGAAATTTGAAGGAAAGATCACAATAACATTAATTGAAGTCAATTAATATCCTATAGTTTGCACATATCATTGGAATGGAAAGCAAATTAACCTTTTAATGGATTTGACGAAATCCGAGGCTGTTGGTCGACGCATGCGCTCAAGAAAGTCGTGTAGACCCAAAAAGACGTCGGCGTTCTCCATTCCGCAGGGGACGTCTCAAAATCTTGTGCAAAATTCTCGATCCTTCACTTCTGATCGAAGACCTCTGAGCTCGGAAATGTCTGGGAGCACGAGAAACAGTGAATTGATGTAAAATTCTAAGCTCGATTATGAAGGCTAAGCAGACACCTCCTCGCGATGACCATAATTAAATTTCTATTAATTATGGTCCTGGGTATTAGAAATAACTGGGCTGGGCTGGGCTGGGCTGGGCTGGGCCGGCCCAATCTAATCGTGGTCCATAATATGAGTACTAAAAATGAACCCGGGCTTAGAGCAGCCCAGCTCTGTGTGGAAGTGAAAAATAATTGGAATTAAATAATTATAAATACATAAGTTTATTTATGTTATTTCGTTCACTTTAAATTCCCCCGTTCCCTCTTCTCTCTCTTTCACCCATTTTCTCTCTCCAACTTCGCCGGAGAACTACCATGCCGCCGCCGAAGAGGCTATGTATCAAAAGGACCGCCAGACAGAAGGAGATCCTCTTCGACATCGGAGGCGCCGCCGTCGTAGAACCTCAACAAGTCGAAAATCCAAACACCGCCTTCGATCACCGCCTTCTCTTCATGCTCTCATCAAGCAACAATCGAAGAAATTCCGATGAATTCCCCTGGTCGTCTAACTACCTCCAGGCTTGCTGCCTCTACCGCCGCTCCCTCGTCGCCGGCCGTGACATATACATGTACAAGTAAGTAAAGTCCGTTTTTTTTCTTTCATGGAAGTACAGATTCAAGTGCTTCCTTTGAATTTTGATCGAAATTCGCCTGGAATCCTTTGAATCGACGTGGTTGATGTGATCGTTGAGTGAAATTGATGCGATTTTGGGTGGAAACAGGGGAGAGAGCGGTTTTTGTAGTGCAGAGTGCCGGAAGCAGCAGATGAATCAGGACGAGGCCAAGGAGAAACGTTCGAAGGTGTCGACGAAAGGACCACGACCAACTGCCAAAGTATAGTAGTTCTACGGAGCATGTCTTGTAATCTTTTGAATCTTAATAAAGAACCCATTGTTTTAGGTAAAGAGTTAGTATTTGTGGGGAGGAGGAAAGTCCACTAACTTACGTGTTTATAAACAAAGAATATTCTCTCGTGTTAATATATTTATTTATTTATTGGATTAAGTATAATACAAGGAAACATAAACAAAAATGGGAGACAAATAGATAAGTACTTTATTTTTTATTTGTTATTTGGTGATATAAATATGAAAGGTCGGTAATACAATTAATTGTACGTCACCTATAAATATTGGACTCATAAACTTATAAAAACCTCGGACTAATCTAATCCACAAAAAAATTAGACGAATTTAATAAGAATTTTATTTGTTATAGTGTAATTAGGAATATTGCTTATATGTTTACATTTAATGCCATTTTTTGTTACAAATTATAAGCCTAAAAACTATAGCTTAAAGAATCAACAATTAGGAAAATTATATTCATCTCAAATGAATCCCATATATTTTTATGTCCAAACATACGGTGATTCCAAAGTAATTTTGGATATTATTTTTTCGTGGTTCATTCAAGACCTGTGCCCTTTGCCCCTTTCCAATGGTCCATCCATTTCATCGATTCCCCACTTCCCCAAGATTAAACTCAAATAATAATAATTATAATAATAAATAATTAATTAAATTTAATATTAGTTAACAAAATTGATGATTTGGGACTATTTATTTTTTTTTAAATTTAAAATTTTTTCATTGATTATAAAGAAAAAGAAATGCAACTTATTGTCCCACGTTATTTAATTGAATGTTGTATTAAAACACGATGCTTATAAATAAAATGTCATAATAATTAGTTTATTTTTATTAAATCAAATTATTATAATAATTTTAACTGAATGAACTTTTTTTTAGAGGAATTAAGTAATAACTGATTTATTATATTAATTTTGTTAAATTAATATGAATTAGTTAATTAATTAATTAACTATAAGAAATAAAATAAAAAAGTATAAAATATAAAATCCAAGTGATGGGTAATTATTATTATTATTATTTTTAATCCAAGTATCAAAATATAAATAAAAATAAATAAGTTATTTTCCAACGAATATGAACTAATTTTCATTAAAAATAAATTTAAATAGTTTTCATGGTAAGGAATGAGATATTTATTTTATTTTTATTTTTTATTATTATTATTATTTATTATTATTATTATTATTTTTTGTATATGAGATATTTTTACTTATTAATGGAATGATCATAAGTTTATAATCAAGGAATACTATCTCATTGGTATGATGTGTTTTTTGGTGATTCTAAAAATAGGTCCATTAAGACTTGTAGACCAATGTGAATAATGTCATACCATTGTGGAGAGTCATGTTCTTCTAACATGGTATTAGAGTCATGCCCTAAATTTAATTGTGTCAATAGATTGATAAATCCTCAAATGTCAAACAAATGACTCCAAAGAAAAAAGAGTCGAGCCTTGATTAAGTGGAGAGATACTTTGTTCGAGGAGAGATGTTGGATGATGAAAGTCCTCCATCAGCTAATTTAGGGAATGATCATGAGTTTATAATCAAGGAATACTATCTTCATTGATATGAAATCTTTTGGGGAAACTTAAAGCAAAACCATGAGATGAGAGTTTATGTTCAAAGTGGACAATATCATACTATTGTGGAGAGTCGTGCTCGTCTAACCCTCATTAGAATTATATTTTTTTAAAATGTGAATTTTGGATTGGGGTCATGGGCCATGGGCCATGGGTTTGTTTCTAGTTATAAGGCCCACGCAGAAAGTTTGTCTATAAGGCCATTGAAACAAACATTCTTTAGCAAAATTAATAATTAGAATTATAGCAAAAAATACAATTAGGGTAAAATTGAATTTGAATCATAGAAACGGTCAAGATATTTACCTGCTGTAACGGCAGTAATCTTGGATCAATCTCAACAAAATTTCAAAATGTGTTCATGTTAACGAACTAAACAAACAACCTAATTTCACTGAACAAGCAGTATAAATCTCAATAACAATGAACATCTGAAATCAAAAAATAAAAAAAATAAAAAAGATCCATTTGAAAATTCATCTCTGAAATTCTTTTTGATCCAGCACGGACGGAAATTCTCCAAGCAATGGCAATGTCGATCATTCCGAGTTTGGCTCTGTTCACGATCTGCATTGCAGCGGTTGCCGTTGCGGGTGCGACATCGCCATCGCCGGCGCCGAGTGCGTTGGATTGCTCGGCAGTGGTGTACCAGATGATGCCGTGCGTGGAATACTTCACGATTGGGAGCACGAAGGCGAATGCCTCTACGGATTGCTGCAAAGTGGTTAAAGATGTGATGAAATCGAAAGGCGATTGTATGTGCGATGCGTTGAAGCAGAACGGGAGAATGGGGATTCAATTGAATCGAACCAGGGCACTCGGCCTTCCTGCCGCCTGCGGAAGCCCTACTTCACTTGCCGATTGCACCAGTGCGTTTTGTTCTTGTTTTGAAATCGATCAATTTTTTATTTTCTGATTTTGAGGATTTTTTTTTTTCCTCTCTCTTTTTGGCAGTTGCTGTTTCTCCGGCTATGGCATCTCCTCCAGTTCCGAGTGCTAAAGCGCCAAAGCCAGCAAAAAGAGCGAAAGTGCCATCAGCAGTCCCATGCACCAAACCGCCAAAGCCGGCTCCAAATTCAACATCCCCAACGCATACTCCAGTTAGCCCACCAAGTCCACCAGCACCACCACCAGAATTGGCGCCAAGCAGAGTCCCAGTGGAGGCTCCAGCACCTTCAGACGACGAAATGGGACCGTCTGGTGAGGACTCGTCGGCATCGGCTCTATCTTTCACCACTTGCTCTAGCCTAATCGTGCTGCCTCTCGCCCTTCTGGCTTCATTCGGAGCTTTGTGATGCTCCTTTTTAGAAGCCATCTACGTCATTTTTGACCCGTTTTTCATAATTTTTTTTTTTTTTCAATTTCCCCTATTGAAGTTAGGAAAATATTTCTTTCCCGTTAAAATAATGTAGTTTCAGTGTTTCGATGGAGATATCGAAACAATATAGAGTTTTATTTATTTAATTACTATTATTATTTATTTTAATCAAATATGAGGTTTATGTTTCTTCCTCTCTTCATGTATTATTCTTCATGTATTATTCAGACTAAATGGCTCTATGAAATTACTTTCACATTTTACGGATAACGTACGAATCTAAAAAAGAAAAATATATATAGTTAAAATTTATGAAAGTTTGTTTCTCTTCCTCCTTGGCTCTTCTTATCATCACCGCTTTTGTTTCATTTTCCTTTGGCTTTTCCTGTGTATTATCCAAAATAGTCAATTCTGTATTTTTCGATATCCAAGGTCTTAAAAAGTGTTTTTATTATTCCGGGAATATCAAAAGAAGACAAAACATCTTTGGCTTGTCTGTAAAAAAAAAGATAAGAACGTACAGTTGCTTGAAATTGTTTGCAAATACCTGTTTTGACAACGCATAGAGTATGTTTACCGATAATCTAAACTCGATTAAGATATTGATATCACAAATCAAGATATTGATATCAAAAACCATGATATTGATATCACAAATACTGATGATTCTGACAAATCATCAGACGAAATTGTTTTGCTACAGTATTCCCAACTATCGATTTTCTTGAACGAATTGGATGATCTTAAAAATCGAACACTTTTATTCGAACTAAATTTTTATTTATTTTAAAATTAAATCAAATTTGAATACATATTGTAATTTTTAATATAAAATTAAAATTCATTATAGTTCTATGATTCAGAGTATGATTTCCTATTTAATCCCTTTGAATTCCATATTCGAAGTTTCTATTCATTAAAAAGAATCGATTCAATACATTTCTTATGTACCCATAGGTGTTATATTGGATTTGAATCAGATTTTGGATCAATCTATATTGATTGACTGCCTCCATTATGTTGTTGCTAGCACATACCACTATTTTTTGTTTTGGATCTTCCAAATCATTCCCGGAGGAGGTCCGGACCCATCATTGCTGCATGATTTTATTCAAATAATCGACAATGCATACAAAAAAAAAAAAAATATGTACTTTTATTCAAGCTAAATATTAAAATAAAATAAAATTTGAATGTCATATATAAATTAATTACTAAAAAAGCATACGATTTATTCACAATTTCATATATTTTTGCACTATAAAATCATATGATTCACTAGAAAGGGTGGAGAATATAGTGATTAGGAAGAGAAACAAACAAAATCGCTAGATTACGATTAAAATAGACATTAGTTTTTGAAGCTCTATTCTAGTAGACCTGTGCCAAGCTCAATGCTTCAGTCCCTTGACGAACAAATGGGCAATAAAAGCACACCATGAACAACCACAAGCAGATGTACAAATACTGTTCCCACACATCGACAACCTCGTACGATACCCCCATCATTTCATATTGATTGAACGACGAAACTATGTTAATTCTAGATAAATATTTATAACACAAATGAATTTTTGTGTGACTCAAGTAACATAATCATGTTGTAGAGAAGCGTTAGAGACAATCTAATGTGAAATGAGTTCGTGGCCCACGAGCTAGCTTTCTCTATTTGTTAACACAAAATTGAGGACAATTTGGCTTGAAGAAGATCACCTATAATCAAATTAATGCTCCATAACACCATAAATATTGATACAAATATTTGAACATCGTATGGATAAATTTATTAAATGCTCCATTAGGAGAGATTGAACATGAACGAAATCTTTAGCTTAAACATAGTGTCTGAATTTTTCAAAAAGGGTTTTTCAAGAATGTGTTACAAACATTAATAAAAAGTCCGAAATTATTGGAGCGGCGACCAGCAATGGATTCAATAGCAAAGCCAACCCAACAGCGGTTGTTCGTTCGATCTTCGAAGGGGAATTTTTGTTTTTTCTTGTTTTTCAAATGAAGTTTAGGGCAAATGGAAGGCGCAGATGTGGGAAAGTGCGGCGAGGGAGGCGTGGATGAACCTAACCCTCAACTATTAACCAACTCAATCCCTAAGAATTTATTTCTTTTTTCCCTCTTCGGCCAACCCATCACCTAAACATGAACATCTCTCCATAAATGAAATTAATGGATCCAACCACAAACAGACACACACATACTCTGTACGCATCAATTTGGTCAAAATGTGGGAGAAATGTGAATGAATTAAAGCTTGAAGATCGGTGACGGGTTCAATTTCGCTGAAATCAATCAAACAGCAAAAGTTTGGTCGCCAACACCACCTTCCCCATAGTCAATGCGCCACCTCGTCTGACAGTGATGCGAGCCTCAAGCTGTCGTGTTTCGTGTGGCCATGGATCTTTCACCTTCTTAACGATTTGGGTTTCAGTTCTTGGTGAAGGATTCTTGGAATGCGATGAGATTTGTGGGAGATCCTAGAAGTCGTTGTTTAATGCGAGCATCTGTAAACTGTGGGAACTAGCGGTAGCAAATAGAGAAAGGAAGAGAGGAGATGGGTTGGAACTTGGGATGAAGGCATACCACGTGCAGGTTTCATTAAAGGAGCTTTAAGAGTAAGTGACCCCACTAAGCCCAAACTCCTACCTACCTCCTCTGCCATTTATTTTAAGCTTCAAGTTCTTGATACCAAGATTGTGCATGATTCACACCGATCACTAATACCCATTTGTTGTTTTTCAAATTTTCTTTTGAATTTCCGGAGTCTCTGATTCTTGATGAACTAATGGTTTGTGGCAATCATTCCGTGAACTGAAGTGTTTTGATCTACTCTTCTCCAATATTTGGTTTATCTCTCTCTCTACTCCCCAAGGTTTGTGATTGTGACTTCCTTTTGTTTGCCTTCTTTTTTTAGTTTTACTTAATGGGTCGTTTCGTTTGTGTTATTCTATGCTTAATTTTGGTGCAAGACATTTTTGGATTCGGTTTGTGTCGGATCAGCCTGTCGCTTGCTTACTTTTTCCAAGTGGGTGATTGTTAATTTGGATAATGGAATCTATTTGCTGTTATCTGCTTCGTTTAGTTTAGGCTTAGAGCGTAAATTTCCATCAATGATTTACTTAACTGGAGATTTATGGCTTGTTTTGGACTTCATTAGGAGAGGGAATCCTCTAACAAAACTGATGGTAGAGGACAAGTTTTAGATGGCATGCACCTGTAAAATTCATGTCTTGTCTAAGTCCTAAAATCATACGCAATCTTGATGTGGTTAGATTCGTTCGCCAGGTCCGCAGATGTTAAAATATACTATATGCTGCACTTTGCACAGGAAAACCCATTTAAGAATGCTCTCTCTGAAAGCTGCATGATAAAGAATTTGATAGTTTTACTTGAAACTTTTCTCTGTTATGGTTATTAAGTCAGCATTTCAGGTGACTGTCTATTTTGCATCGCTGCAGCATGTCAGAAGCCCTGAGGAAATCGAATGTGATCAATTTTGGGCGTGGGAATGGATACTTGAATGGGGTAATACCCATCAGAAATGCAACTGCGGTTCCTGAAGTTGATGAGTTCTGCCGATCTCTTGGTGGAAAGAAGCCAATCCATAGTATTTTAATTGCAAACAATGGAATGGCTGCGGTTAAATTTATGCGTAGTGTTAGAACATGGGCTTATGAAGCATTTGGCACTGAAAAGGCAATCTTGCTGGTGGCTATGGCTACCCCAGAGGATATGCGGATCAATGCAGAGCATATCAGAATTGCTGATCAGTTTGTGGAGGTTCCTGGTGGAACCAACAACAATAACTATGCTAACGTGCAGCTTATTGTTGAGGTACATGTTCTTTCCAATCAAATTTGCATTATTATCTCCACATTTCATAATGGGATTTGATTCCCATGGAAAAGAATCAAAGAAAAAAAAAATGAAGATGAACTCTGTCTTTTGATCATTTAAGTAAGTCGAACATGCAAATCATGATATAAGGTTATGACCTCTTAGTACCTTCTTGCTCATAAGATGTTTGTATTGCTATAAAACTGATTATCATATTAAATTGATTCACAATTTAGATGGCAGAGATAACTCATGTTGATGCAGTTTGGCCTGGATGGGGCCATGCATCTGAGAATCCAGAGCTACCAGATGCATTGAATGCAAAAGGAATAAGATTTCTTGGGCCTCCATCGATATCTATGGCAGCACTGGGTGATAAAATTGGTTCATCATTAATTGCACAGGCAGCAGAAGTACCCACTCTTCCTTGGAGTGGTTCTCACGTAAGTTCATATTATTTTCTGTTTGATCATATCATCCACTCAAGGATCCACATTCAATATATTTATTTATTTTGTGTTTAGGTGAAAATTCCACCTGATAGCTGCGTAGTTTCCATCCCAGATGATGTGTACAGGGAAGCTTGTGTTTACACAACAGAAGAGGCCATTGCAAGTTGTCAAGTTGTAGGTTACCCTGCCATGATTAAGGCATCATGGGGTGGAGGGGGTAAAGGCATAAGAAAGGTTAGAATAACAGTGTCATGGATACATACTACATTGGTAGCTTAGGAACAATGAAAATACACTTGAGAGCTGAACTTCCATTGATGAATTTGAGAGAACAAAACATTGTTTTAATCTCAACCTTCAGGTTCATAATGATGATGAGGTGAGAGCATTGTTCAAACAAGTGCAAGGAGAGGTTCCAGGATCACCCATATTTATAATGAAGGTTGCATCACAGGTCAGATATCTACTGCTAAATCATCATGGTTGCTGTAGGACATGTTTTATTCTGACTTTTCATTGACTTTTGTGTGATTAGAGCCGGCACCTAGAAGTACAGTTATTATGTGATCAATACGGAAACGTTGCTGCTTTGCACAGTCGTGATTGCAGTGTTCAGAGACGGCACCAAAAGGTTAATTCATATGGTTATTGTTCAGTCTGATTTTCTTGGGAACCAATATTTTTCTAAATTGTTCATACTAGGAGCCTATCATTTAACTTCCTGCCTCTTCCGACTAGATTATTGAGGAGGGTCCGATAACGGTTGCGCCACTGGAGACAGTAAAAAAGCTAGAACAGGCAGCTAGA